ATTTGTGGTACTGATATCACAGAATAACCAGAAGGTGCACTTTTTTTGATTTACACGGGTTCTTATGGGGGATAGATTTGCAACACCTGTGAGATATCAGTGTAGCCGGTATAGAGATAATAAAAAATTGTACAACCACAGAATAATCTGTAGCCCGTATTAAACTTATTGATACAATAAATATTGTATATCATTTTATTGTATATTAATAATTAACAATTTTTTCAGTTAAATTAAAAAAAAAAGTTGAACTTTAAGTTAAGCTAAAAAAAGTTGAACTTTAACTTTTAAGTAGTAAAACACATTAACTGTTAATAGTCACATAAATATAATTTATTTTGTCATAGTAAATCATTAATTACAAAATGTGTATGTCGAAGGTTCACAATGTTAATTAAAATTTTTTTTAATACATAATACTAAAAATACAATATCTTGTAATAATCTCTTACAATATCTAATAATTATTTACAAATGTTTCAAAATAGATAGTTTTCTATTTTTTCGTTTTGTTTCAGACATCATAGACCTATTTAAAAATCTAATTGCAGTAAAAATTCTAAAACGTATAAATAAATCCATTAAAAATTGTTTGTTAAATAATTCACAAGGATGACTAAAACGTACATTACAAAGTAGATCTTTCATTGTGGACCCGATATTATCATTAATTGCAATAGAAGAAAAGTTATCAACAAAAATATCTTCTAATTTAATAACATAATTATAGAATTCATCGTGCGGCATAAATAGCTTACCAAAATTGGTAGAGTCATTTGCAGAATAAGATTTGAAGAAAGCTAAGAGAAAGGACTGATCCAATGTTTTTTGATGATTTGCATACTCTATACAAACCTGGCATACATGTTTCTCCAGACATTTCTTCATAAAGTATCCACACACATATGTGTAAGCATTTCTCTCCGGAATGTTTAATTTCCTGTAGTCAACAGTACCAATTTTAATTGATTTAAAATTAAAAAGATGATTTTGTTCTTCTGCAGCAAATAACTGGTTTATTTTATTAGAACTTGGTTGTTCGCTGACATGAGTAAGTATTTGATCGAAGTCTTCTAGACAGTTAGCTCCTGGGGAATGTTTAAAATACTGAAGGCAAAATATTTTTTTAAAAGATTGAATAAATTGGACAGGTGTAGGATTTGTACTGTTACCGTGTTGCTGTCTAAACACCCCAATTAAATTCTCAATACCATCTTGATTCACACGGCCTGTAGAAATAGCATATGGTTGGTTTGGGTCAGAATTTAAAGATTTCCATAGCATTTGCAGTGCACTAATAGAGACTAACCAACCATTAATAAAATTTATCCTATTAGTAACATCAGTATCATTTGTTTTGTTTATAACTTTAAGGTTTTTAAACATTTCAGTCATTTTTATTAGATGATCCAACTGAGGTGATTCATTATTAAAGGGCCTATTAAAAATTTTACCATTAGGAGTTTCTCTAGAATTAAATATGTCAAACAATTTATCCATGTCATTTATAAAATGTATTGTTTTTTGACAATCTATGGGTAACAAATTACCATTTAATGCTGTGGACATACCAGCTGCAACAGTAGCACTAAAAACTTGAGCTGCTAACCTAACTTTCATTTTATCGAAAGGACCGGGATGAATATGTAAATATGTTAATTTAGGTGCCATACGGAGGTTGCATTTACTATCATAATTGTAAAAAATATCTAAATGTTTTTTGTCTACTAAATCTTCATTAATTTTCAACAAATGTTTAAAAAACATGTTACGTGTCGATTTAAGTAGGTGAGGGGGATCAAACATATATATAACAGGCTGTCCATCAACTTCAAAAAATGGTTCCTTTGGAGAAACATTATTAGTATTTGAAAAGCGAATGAAATTTGACCCTTGATCAGTAATGAAGCATTTAACATTAAGATTTATATTTCGTAATCGGCGAATCGTTGAAAAAATAATTGAATTAAGATCTGGCCCAGAACAGCTATTCGAAACAAGGTAATAGGCAATAGGTTGTTTCCAGTTATATTTGATTCCTCTAAGCATAAGGACAAGAGCGTATTTTGCAGGTTCATATGTTCGAAAAGAATTTGATTGATTAAAACCAATTATTTCATCTTTGCTAACGTTATAAAATAAATTTTGTTTTATTGACATCTCATCAGCGCTTAAAAAACAGTCCAAAGCATCAGGATGAAAACTACTCATTTTAAATTCTAAAAAGTGAAATAGGAAATCATTTAAGCCAGGTTTTAAATCGTATTGTGAAGTTACTCTTTTTAAAGTGCAAATAGAAGGAAGAGAAAAAGATTTTTGAAGAAAATTAAATACCATAGGGCTTAGAAAATATACAGTTAAAGCAAATTGTTTAATTTGTTTAGAATACCGTTGTCCACTTTTTGACCTATCTTTGTTTACAATATTATTTTTAACTAGAAGGTAGACTGATGGCGATAAATATTGTTTACACATTTTGATACAATGTTCAACTGTTGTAGTCTGCTCTAGTTGTTGTTCTAGTTCCTTGATTGAACACAAAGCATTGGAAAGTCGTTCCTGAAGTACTCGTTTCCTTGGAGTTTTGGCAGATAATGAGTTCGGAGTTTGAATACTTATGGAAAACGATTCTACTGATGTACAACTCGAAACTGATGTAGTATTAAGAGTAGATGACACTAAAAATAAAATTATAGTGGATTAAAATAATAAGTTAATAAAGGAACTAAAAGTTATCATATCTAGCAATAAAATCTATATATAATCAACATACCAGGAGTTGAACATTTAGGCGGGTTGTCAATTATAACATTTTCAGTTTGGATGTTATCTTCCAAAAATTCAGATGGAACATCAACATGATCTGATGTTTCTTCTGTAACGACACAATCATCTAAAAGAACAAAATATTGTTTTACAATACAAATAAAGATTTATTTACCCCTTATTTAATTGACTTACTTTTAAATAATGTTGGTATTGCTGTATTAAATAATCTGGTTTTTTCAACATTTACGTACATTTCATTTTCAAAATGAAGTGAACACAATCTGTGGTTCCTATTCAGAATATCAGGGTCAATAGTTGGTAAATTAATTGGTTTACACTTTTCAATCCAGACAGCACATCTATAATAATTAAAACTATTAGTAGAGGGTACCAAAACAATTATTTGTAATGCATGATAGAAAATAAACATCAATGAATTTGATGGACATACAAATACAATGAAGTTACAAGAAATAGGTTGGTACATTTTTGGTATTTCTTACCTTGCTTGATCCTTTGGAAATCTATGAAAGCTCGTTTCAATTTGTTTTTTTCCAAAGACAATACTGCTGCAATTCGCCAAACAACAGGAATGGCCACCCGAATACATTGCAGTTTTACAATTAGTAGTAGTTTACAATTAAAAAAACTAAAAATGTTAAACACAACTCGGAACAAAAAACAAATTGAGCAATGTGAAACGGAAATTTCAAACACAGATTCAACGAACAAACATGAAACAATTAATAACAATCAACAATGTCATATATCAATAACTTATCACTGAAAAATAAAATATTTACAATGATAACATTAAAAATGCGCCCACTCAGTTTCAGCAGCAAAAGAGAATTTGTAATTATTTTCGAAACCTGGCAACACTGATATCTCAAACATTTTTCACGGATTTTCGAGTTCTCATTAAGTGCACCTTCTGGTTATTCTGTGGTGTGAGTATGCTCGATGATAAGACTTCACATATTTTTTTGAGCTACAATGTATAATTTATATAGACAAGCAACAATAAATATATTAATATTATATTTATATTTATATTAATATATTAAGTCGACGTCAGGCACTTACGGCTCACGCGTATACATATTTTATTCTTATGCAATGCAGTATTCACAAAAACCACAGATACTATCTTAAATCGTGCACATGGCTCATGCGCGAACTAGGACGAAAACACGGTTCATATTGAGCATACTTCTTATTTCTCATACTAATATACTATGATAACAGTAATAATATTCATTAGTAGGCCATGAATAGGCCGATACATAGATAATAATAATAATAATTAATAATGTTGCGATAACGTCCGGATCGCACGGGCTAATAAATGAATTACACGATACATAATATTATAGATGATCGTTATTTTAGTTATTTGTTTGGTGTTAATTACAAATTTTTTTTTTCTGATTACTTGTTTCCTTTCCCGTACGTGCGTTGTATACGTCGTACAGGTTAAAATTAATGTACGCCAACTGTTTCGTTGGCAAACTACCGAGCACCACGTCTGTCGTACGCTTTACCCAGAACGTAGTGGGACTGCACCATGTTATAACGTTACGGATACGTGTTCGCCGAGCCGATAATATGAAGCTCTCCTACACTATTCGACGGTTGGATTTTGTAGTGGCGAATACGTGAAATTCTCTATTCCTAGGACCTAGGTATGTTTGCTTTCCGTCGACCCTCTCCAATACTTTTTCTCGTTTGTAATCAAATCGAAAAGCTCCCTATTTATAATTCCAACGTTTATAGTTGTCACAGCTTGTGAATTTCTAAAAATTCAATTGAAGACATACATACTTATCATGATTATTCCTAGATTCCTTAATAATTGCCTCTACCTAAATCATAAATTAAATTATCAATCACCTAATTATTGCATATTGCTTGTATTTTAACAGTAAAACTTTCCTTAGAAAAAATCCTGGTTGGAACTTATATCCAAAATTATTAAACAATAATTGCTTATTTATCTATTTAATTGTTTGAATGACACTAACATTAAGATCTTTTAATCATCTTCATGGCTTAATAACATATTTTTCTGATGTTTTCCGCCTTAGTGATTAACTATTGACTTTTATGTATCAATTTTAGTGCATAATTGTATTATTGTAGTTTTATTTTGTCAAAAAATAACAATTTTATTTATCTATTTGTCTTTTATTTATCTATTTATCTTTTATTTTTATCTATTCGTCTTTTATTTATTATTTTTATTTTTACTATTTGATTTGGGTATGTATTCCTTACTTATAGTCATTAAATTGTTCATTAAAATGAATTATAAATCTTTCTTATCTTTAACTATTATTAGATAAGCATCATTCATTACATACATACAAAATTCCTAACGGCTATTACTAAGTGTACAATGATAATATGCTATGTTCTCAATCAAACTTTAAGAAAAACTCTTTATCTTAATTTATTGTATCTAAAATACTAAATTACTCATTGAAAAATCATGTCTAATGCTTATCTAAACCTTCAGAGTTTAAATTTTGGAACAATTATAACATACAATTATAATGTTTCAATTTCACTTTAAATTACAACTAAAGATTCTTCATTTCTGCACATACTTTCTTTACTTTTACCAAAAACATTCATTAAATTATCTCTGATCTGTCCCATTATATAAAATGTTATATCTGCATACTAGCTATACAGTAGAAAAGCTGTGGTCTTAAGTCAACTAACATAAGTTTTTCAATTTTTCATGATTAATATTTGAGTAATGGAATAATTTATTTACAGGTTTATATCTACTATGTGGCAAGATATCTAGGTACATCAAGGTCTACATCAATATATTTTTTATTGTGCAATTATGACAAAAATCTTTTAATCAATACTCACATTTGGACTGATGTGAGTATAGCATTTGTATTTTTATACTACTTAACCGCCTAATATAATATGAAACTTAATATGCACCTCAATAGGTACTTACCATTATATATTTAAGATAGCTTAACATGGGCGTTTTCATAGGGGGGGGGTATAGGGGATAGATCCCCCATGGTCTTTTTTTAGTGTCAAATGTCTAGTGCAATTGTGTTTATATTAATGTCAAATGAAATGTCTTGATCATGTTTGGTGTGAATTTGTGTGTGATCTAGATATGACTAATTATTTGCTTAAACTAATATACGGTCATTAAACATTAAATATTAACTATCATTATATTATTATCTTTCCTATTTTTGGAACATGAATTTGATCACTCTTTACTTTTATTAAAAATATATATTTTGCTTATATTATAAATAAAGGTTTTATAATTGTATGGCATACTGGTGTATTGCAAAAATGTTAGGAAAATTAAATGTAAAGTTATTAAATCTTTGTTTACACCTTCATAATTTACGTTTAACTGACTACATTGTTGAAAATGATTAATAAAAATATTTTTTCGCAGATTTCAAGTACCTATATTTTAACAAGAAAAAACTATATTTGTATTAAAATTCAAGTAGCTGGAAAATCATCATTGAAACATGATTTTGAATGTTATGGCACAAATACTATTGATAATTAAATTAAAATCCACCATTTGATTATTATATGCTACTATGAAAAAAAATCGCTTTGTAGCATTAGTTTTGTTCAGTATATTTGTATGGCTTGGTATTAATCATTTTATACCCAATGATAATTTCATATCTAAACCCAATAATTATCTTGATGAAAATTTGGATGATTTTGAGTTGCGTTTAAAAATTGAAGTAGAAACACACAATTTAATACGTGAAAATATTAAACAGTTAAATTATTCTAGCCATGAAGATAGTTATCAATTTAAAAAACACAATTCGTCCAATTCATCAAGTGTTGCTATTTTAATAATTGCTTGTAATCGTCCATCTATATCAAGATGCATCAACAAATTACTAAAATATCGCAAATCAAAAGATGATTTTCCTATTATTGTGTCTCAAGACTGTATTCATGAAAGAACTTCACAAGTTATAAAAAGTTTTGGCAGAGAATTAATTCATATTCATCAACCTGATCAAAAAGAAATTAAAGTGCCATCTAAAGAGAAAAAATTTAGTGGTTATTTCAAAATATCAAGACACTATAAATGGGCACTTAATCAAGTTTTCAACACATATAATTATGGAACTGCGATAATAGTCGAAGATGACTTGGATGTAGCTCCAGATTTTTATGAATATTTTAAAGCTACATTACCAATTCTTCAAAAAGATGAAACTTTATGGTGTGTTTCTGCTTGGAATGACAATGGAAAATTTGCATTGATTGATAGAAACGATCCAAAGTTATTATATAGATCAGATTTTTTCCCTGGACTTGGATGGATGTTAACACGTAAAATATGGATAGAATTAATGCATAAATGGCCTCATAGTTATTGGGATGATTGGATGAGACATCCTGACCAAAGAAAAGGCAGATCATGTATAAGACCTGAGCTATCCAGAACAAAAACATTTGGAAAAATAGGTGTTAGCAATGGTCTTTTTTATGAAAAACATTTAAAATATATATACTTGAATGAATTACCAGTTCATTTTACCAAATTAAATTTAACCTATTTATTAAAAGATGAATATGATAACAATTTTGTGGAAATGGTATATAGAGCACCACTTGTTGGTGTTAATGAACTCAAAAATAAGCAAATTGGTCATAGTGATCCTGTGAGAATCATATATTATACTAAGAATAACTTGAAATCATTAATGAAACTATTTGGCCTGATGGACGATTTCAAAAGTGGTGTACCAAGAACTGCGTACAAAGGCATAATTAGTTTCACATATGATAATAGAAGAGTATATTTAACACCCATTAAAGAATGGCACAACTATGATCCAAGTTGGCAATGATGTACTATCATTTTTAATAAAATTTTATAAATAATGTAAATAAAATATATTAATTTAATTTAAATTATAATTTAAACTAAATAATCTACATTACTAGCATACCAATGTAAAGGATGTATCATAAATGACACAATTTTTAAATTTTCTTTTATTCTATTTAATTAAAAAAAAAATAATATATTAACTATTATATTATATTTTGTTTCACTATAAGCTGAGAATTTAGTGTATAACACTATATTGGCTGTATCATCCCATTTACCTTCTTGGCCTGTAGTTACTGAAGTAACTAGAAGTTTGTAAAATTCTTAATTATTTTTTCAATCTTGTCCATTAAGTTTACTGATGATCTGTTGAATTTCTTACTTGAGATCCATTAAAGATCAAGTTTTGTTTTTATAAGCTTGCAATTTAATGAAGTCTCAAAGAAAAGTGTCACGCTGTATAAAATTGCAAGTTCTTGGAGTTTACTGGTGATCGTTGCAGTGGGAATGGAGTCTACCGTGAAACTTTTCAGAAAGTAAGGCAATTGTTTGCGTTGGATGTATGAGTGGTGGCCGTCTAAGCCCCCCCAAATCAAATGTTGAGCCCCTGTACTAAATGTTTTTGCTGGCCCTATATAAATCTTCCAATAATAAAATACAACTCATATACAGGTATCCCTTACAAGATCATTTCTAAAAATCTATCTATAACCCACAGCTTAAATATCAAAATTACTAATACATTATAATATTATATTAGTAGTTTTGATAAAATATTATCACACATTTTTAAAAAATATTTTTTATTATAAAAAAGTATACCTATCAATATTTTGAAAACTACAAATTCATTTCAATGGGCCATTGTACTCCAGGTCCTCCCCCCCCCCTTTTTGGGACTCCTAGGTGATGCTGTCCTGCTGAAACCAGAGTTCTTCAAATTTAAATCTCAACTTTTTAATGAAACAATATTATTTGTAATACTTAATACATTTATTTAAAAATTAAATGATTTAAATCAAAATTAAAAACTGTGTTCTTTATGAATAACCCTTTATATTTTGTTTACCAAAGAATATGTAGAGTAATAAATTCATAATGGAAGTTGATTTAATTTTTTTTTTTTTTCAAATTTTATAGTTCAAATTGGCTGTTATAACTAATAAGATTTTAATTATCTATTAAATTATTTTGTTATCTTGTTTATAAATTAATAATTAGAAAATTATTGTTTTGTGTTTTATTTGTTAAAAAAATGTATGGGTATAATAAATAATAATAAATATATTTGAATTGCTATTTTGTTTATCATTTATGTATTAAATATTTTAAAAAGTTATTTATTATTTTATTATCTTTGTCTTTGTTTATGAGGGAAATTTAATCATTGATGTAGGGTGAAAATATGTTTAATTATTCAGCTATAGAGATAAAATAATATAATATAATATAATATATATTTATTTTGATATAATAATATGTTATATATAACTACTTACTGTGCAAGGAGATGGGCTAAAAATATTTAACCCGACTTTTTAAAAGAGAAAAATAAATTCAGTATAGTATTTTTAATTATGAAGATTAATCAAGACACAATTGAATTAATGCCTAACTATAAAAATGAAATGTATGCACAGACACTAGACCAATTTAATTTTAACAAAAAATAATTGGACAAGCAGTCCTAGAGTACTAGAGTTGTGATTAAATCTTTAACGGCTTAAATAATACGATTGTTTATAAATACACTATTATTAATTATTATAAAAGTATTGATAATATTATTTAAACTTAAAATATATTGATTAAACATAATATATTATTATACTTATAGGTACACATTTAATAATTAATCTGCACAGAGTGAAAATTACAAATCAGTACTTTTATACAATAACTACATAACCAATAACCTGTATTGTGGCAGTTCCCACATCATCTACCTAAACTTAAAAAATATGAATAATCTTATGCTCAAATTTCAAATATATGGGTATAGTGTAGTCTATTTTATACGATATACCTATGTAGGTACTTACTAGTGACTACAATACGTCAGTACTACCTACTGTGGTAGCCTGTAGGTAAACTAAAATAATCAAAACTAATTACTCTGTAGGACATAGGTATTTAAATAATATTAATTACCTATTATCAAATATCAATGTATCGTTTGTAAAATTAACTATTAAAAATTTGACATTAATCCATTAACTATTAACTATAAAAACAACCAGGAGCTCACCTGCTCACTCTGCAGTTGGCTGTACACAGTACACTATTTAGTAATTTTTAAGTGTCAAGTGTACTTTTCCATTGAATACCTAGGTCACTAATGAGTAAAGGCTAGTTGATGAGTGAAATTCGAATGTAATAAATCATTGCAAACAAAATACAATTCTGAGCGGAGGCAGTCCTGAGTTCCTGACGGCATATATTACTAAGTATATTGATATAAAAAATGTATTTTACAATTAGAAATACGGTAAGTTGAAAATATTTTTCATAATATTACCTATTTTATGATACTTATTATTTATTTTAAAAGTACCTTAATATTTATATTTTATATCAAAAGTAGTCAATTCCGAATTACCGTAGACCGGTAGTTAGCTAGGTACCTATATGAATAGGGTCGGGCTTCGGGGTATAAATAGGCAATAGGTAAAATTGATTTTAATATTTTTAAAAAGCAATTACCTACGTATAGTAAAATATAATAATATTAGTATAAACGAAATTACTTCAAGTTCTCACGAATGATATTTTTGAACCCACAATAAAATAGGTACCTAAAATCATTATTTTTCGTTTAAATATTCAATTTGTCAAAATTTGAACTTCAGCTTTTTTATTGCCAAAAGTAAAACATATATACTTAAAGCATGTAGACACAGATACCTACCTAGTTCCTAGTTAGAAGTTATTTATTATTTCCTACGTCCGTTCAGAAACTATTAAAACTCTTGCTGCCCATGAACAGTTTTAAATTTTAAATTTTAATAGATTTCTAAAGGCAAAGCCGTATAAATGTATAATGCTCAATAAAAATTAGGTTATTTTTCCAAAATGATTTAAAATCGAAGCATTATTTCGACTACTTATCGTGTACACAGACACAAAAATAAATAAAAAGAAAAAAACACACATCATTTTAAAACCAATACATTCATTGTTTCACTCAGAATCTAAAAGTGTGTCCGGTAAAACATAAATATACTGGCAATTTCACCATCACTCATATACTAATTACGTAAAACAAAAATCAAAATTCGAATAAAGTACAGTGTTGTCGTTGTGGCGTTGTGTGTATGTGTGCAAATGTAAAACCTCTAACTTTGGAAGGATATAACTTCCAAATCAAAGATTTCCCCAATTTTTTTTTACACCATCGTCATTGACTCGTTGAAATACGTTTGTTTAAAAAAAAAAAAATACTGGGTTGAGTGAGTATGCCAAATATATTATAATATTGTATAGGTAGGTACTAAATTTTGTAGAATTTTAAAGCATAATTTAATAATTTTGTTCACATATTAGTTTTAGGATTTTTGATAAAATATACAATAGTAGGTACCTACCTACCTATTCCCAGCTATCACTCACCAGTAACCACCGCAACAATGTACTTGGAAATTTAGTATTTATTTTATTTATTTAGTATTTAGTAGGTATTTAGTATTTGTGTGTAAAAAACTAAAAAAAATTTTATCCCCCCTCCCACTAAGATAAATTCCTATTTATGCCACCGGAGTCTTGAGTTTAGATACTTACCTGTGATAGCTACAGCTACTATAAAGTACAACTACAACTAACTTATATGAAAACGTTTAAACATTTTAAAATATATTCTGCTTCTAATACCTATTAATTATTATAGTGTTACACACTTATAAATACCCTAAATATATTTTTCGTTACTATTAAACAATAAATCCATTATGTATGTAAATATTGTTTATAAATATTAAAATTAAATGTTACTTAAGTTAACTTAAATAAATGATAATTTAGTACCTACCTACCTATATAATAGGTATATAATATATAATAGGTAATTTTAGTAATTTGGTGTAATTCAATAAGATACCAACTACTAAATTATAGATGGGCAGATGGCAGTATAGGTATAGGTACCTTCTCCGTATATTATTATAGTTGTAGAATATTATGGATTTATGCTAATTGAAAATTAATTAGGTATACACACAACTCCAAAAGTGAAAGTAGGTAGGACAGCGTAGATTCAGTACCTATATACCTACTCACTTACGTGTACAACATACAGTAGGTATATAATGACAACCAGACAGCCTTATATAATATTATGTAACTACCTAGTAACGACTTAGCTATAAATATAATATTATATATTATTCAATTTTTATAGTCGTTTTTAGTGGATGTGTAAGTGGTAGAAAATAAACGTTAAATAAATCCAGTAGGTAATTAATGAAGTACCTAGTCGATATAAGTCGGTAGACAATAGGTATTATCTATAGGTATATTTATAATATAAAATACTGCAGCATAGAAGTTAGAAAACGTTACTCTGCAGTGTTACTCTATAATATGAGTGCAGTATAGCAGGTACAATATAGGTATAGAAGGTACCTATTATATGTTAAAATATAAAAATATTTAATTTCATAATTTCATAATATTTATTATAGATTGTGTATAATAACTAACATCAGGGAGTATTTTAATTTTAAATATAGTTTAATATTCTGCAGTGGGGTTATAATATTTCTATGTTTCGTTAAAATATGTAAAATCTTGTGATATGTTTATTAGGCACATTTTAAAAAATACACATAATACAGTTCAATTATTCTAATAATTTACTCAGAAATTAATACAATGTCTCACTACAAGATGCCAATTGCTGAATACGTGTACACAGAACACTTCAGAGAAATGAACATAGCTCAAGATGTTTATTCGTCATTTACCGACAAGAAGAACTCCAACGATCAATTTTTGTACGTACATGGATTACTAAAAGAATATGATTGGTTACCTACAAAGTGCGATGGTCGTATTAGACTATCACAGGCGCATCGACGATGGAGAAAACGGCTGAAAAAATACCTTAAAAAACAAGGATTGTTGATAAATATGGATTGTACCACGGCAAATAAAAATAATCATACGTCTGATCAATATAGATCGCGTGGTAATGAAGCATTTAAAATTAAAAACTATGAGGAGTCGCTAAAAATGTATACTCAAAGTATAATGACTGCAGAAATTGACTCTCTCAGCTTTGCTTTGTCAGTGGCAAATAGATCTGCTGCTTTATATTATTTAGAAGAGTATGAGCATAGTTTAAAAGATATTGATCAAGCATTTCAATCCAAACGGTATCCATTGCAGAATAATTACAAGTTATTTGAAAGAAAAGGAAATTGTTACCGTCAGATGAATCATATCTCCATTGCTTTAGAATTGTATTCGGTATGTTATACATTTTTTAATTTTTAATTTCATATTTATAATTTTTATAATTAAAATAGTACCTTTTTTTAACGCACTGGTGTTGCACTCGATTTTACTCCAACCCTGAACATCCAGTTGTATATAGGCATAGTGCCATAGCCCCAGATCAAGTGAATCCAGGAGCCTTCTATAGGGACATTTTAAAATTTAAACCTTACATAGATAATATAAGTTCAGTATTTACTGCGGCGGATAGTTTATACGAAGCTACAAAAGGACAAATCATCCCAGAGTCTCAAATAATCTATTGATATAATTTTTATTAAACAGTCCAGTAGTTTTTGAGTTAATAGAGGACGAACAAAAAACGTTCATTTTTTTACATAAGATTTTAATAAAATATTAATATAACTTTTTAGCTCATTTACTTAAAACAATGAGAATTAATTATTAGTCTACATACTTGATAATTTTGATTATAATCACAAAAATTAAATATTTATAATCTTAATACCTATTTGTTTTTAGGATTGTTTATTACATTTAAATAGTAATACACATTTAACATTTGCCAAGAAAGAAAAAATCAAAATCAGAATATCAGAATTTGTAAAAAAATGTGAAGTAGTAGAAGAAAGAAGAAATAAAATTAATATTAAATATAAAAGTTTCACAAAACTTAAATTTGATAAAAACTCTGGCTTATCGAAATGGGTTGAAATACAAAATTCAAAAGAAATGGGAAGAGGATTATTCGCATCAAAAAACATTAAGCCTGGTACGATTTATAATTTATGTATCTAATTCATAGTTTATACTGATTTCTGTTATACCTATTACGTATTACCTACCTACTCAATACTCATATAGGTACATAATATCATATTATTATTATAGCCAGCTGCAGCACGACTCCCCAAAATTACGGAATTGTGTAGATTTTATTAACAATTTCTATACATTATATACATAAATAGATTCTGCAAATTTAATTTTTATATGTAACCAGTGGCGTATTTACGGGGGGGGGGTCCCCGGGTCTGGACCCCCCCAGAAAAAAATATAATATAATATAATTATTACATCGTAACTCGTATGTGTTTTTTTTTATATTATAAACTTGTAGGTACCTAATATTTAGACCCCCCCCAGAAAAAATTTCAAAATACGCCACTGTATGTAACTATATTCTACGATTTCGTATGGTTTTAAATGCAACGTGGCTGTACCGAAAAATATGTTTAAAAAAACATATTTAATTTATTGTAACGTACATACGACATAGGTACCTATAATATAGTTTTGCGAAATAGACAACTGCTGTTTTGTTAACAAAACTTGGTTTTATTTGTCTATAGTGTCTTTATAATAATGATGAAAAAACCAATATTCTTAACCTGTTCGGTAAACATTTAATGAATCAAAAGTGATCAATGGTCCCTTAAACAGTTAAACACGATTTAGTAATTATTTCATTAAGTTTTATCGAACCATATTAAGACGGCGGATTAAGTTAATACATTTTTCTTACAAACGGGCGTCCGGGCATAATAATTTTAGTTTACCATATACTTTAGTCTTTAAGTATCCTATTTATATAGGGTGTTACCACTGGGTATCTTCCCTAATCTTATTATTCGTATTATTTTTACTTGTCACCTGTAAAACCTACTTATTATACTAAGAACATGTATAGATTGTAGATTACTTCAAATAAATCACATTCCACCAATGACGGCGGAAGATTTTCTGGGGCCCCTGGCATAGGCCCAATTTCAGTCTTTGACTTAGAAGTCTATCCATATTCCATATATACATCAAGCAGACCACGAAGACTCCCGGGTTTTGACGCCTTGCGGCTACAACCGCGGACCTCACATTAGCGCTGTGCGCTAGTCGAGAGCCGCGGAGGTTCACGGTCGACGTACGGTGGCCCAGTCCGCCGACCGCGCGTCGTCTACGGACCACGAGCACCGGGACCGAGGTCCCGTACCAAGAAGACAGGCCGAGTGCCGCCTGAATTCGCCTGGTCTGGCTGTGCGCTATCCCCACACCGAGTGTTTCTGGTTACACTCAACCTCCGATGATACTACACCGGTATAGCGGCTAGACGCCCGAGAGGAACCGAGAACGTACCGGTGACTCGCGCCCCCGGGACGTGGCGGCCGTTCATCAGAGGTTTTCGCCTGTCAGCGAGAACTTAGAATAAGCATCTATTGACTTAACCACAAAGTATTCGTAAGAATACAACCACCACGATTCCTACCGGCAACGGACGTCCAGGGGCGTGAACCATCACTGGACGCCCGCGGTGAGTGGCGTCGTTACCGACGGGGCCCCACTCACTCCCGTGGCACTGAAGCGTCTTCAGTCAGACTTTCGCCCCCTCAGAGTCTACCAGTTCTGTCGGCAAAACGGGCATTGGTTTGCCCTAACCGCGGACGGGCGTCCGCGAGGTGCGAAATTAATCTCGGCCACCACCCTTTCGAACTATCTTCAGCAAGGACCCGTGTCCTTGGGTCAGTCTGGCCAAACGCCCCGACCCGGATGCCTGCCGAGCCGAGGCGCCCAGCCCAAGCTGACGACAGCCCTACCTTTCAGTCAAAGGTGGGACTATTTGCGACGACCACCCTCGCCTACCGAATTAGGGACTCTAAGCAGACGAGCCATCAGCCGCGAGCCCGTAACACTCACTGCAGTGTCCCGGAGACATGCCCAAACCCGGCTTACGCTGAGACGCCCGGCTGCTGGACGGAGCGAACTCCGGCGCCCGTGCCCTCAACTCATATTGAGAGCACCACCGCCTGGGTCGGTTGCCCAGCCGGCGACCGTGAACCGGCCCAGAGGACATACTGTCCGGAACTACGGGTCATTTAATCGAAGCTGTCCGCGGCCGGTTATTAGTTATTCGCCGGCTACCCGACTCGGAAGCTACCGAGGGAACCGGGCTTTCCTCTATCCGCAACCCGAGGACGCGATCTATACCGTGCGTCCACGGTCGCGAAACTCACAGTAGGCGGCTGTGGTTTCGCTAGATATCAAGCAGACCAGTGGAGGGCTCCGCCCCTCACACCATCCAAACAAATATTGCCTATACAATATAAAACATTTATTATAACTATTTATAATTAATAATACATTTATTTATAATTTCTATCTAAGCACCTTTCCTACTTATTCACTTTTCCAACTACAATAGTAGTATAGTCTATAACTGAACTGAATAATAATTTATGAAAAATTCATAGGTAAACCTAACACACATATATTTTGTAATTATTAGGTAATAAGACGATTAAAAATTTAAAATACTAAAAAAAAAACGAATTTTATATTATTTATAATATTAAAATTGTAATTTATGATCATTTTAAACAAATCCGTTTAATATTTCTTTACTTTCTATTTAATTAGATATAAGGTACCTACTTCTTTCAACATAAATTATTGATAAGATAGTGAAATGTTCTTGCTTCATAGAAGTGCCCAGACAATTTTTTATCCTGCGAATGGCCGGAAAATGCCCACCACCTCCTTGCATGTATCTAAGGTCATTTTTTTACAAGTTACACCAAAAACCAAATTCGATTTTGTGAAAAATCAATTTTGAGTAAAAAATTCCCGTTTTTTCTTAATTTTTCTTTTGTTTTTCTTAGCCCTTTTGAAAATTACTGGGAATTTTTACCTCCCCAATGCACCAACAATATTCACTTTCCAATCAAACAAGATACTGAAGTTGAAATCGAAGCATTTTGTCGACTACTTATCGTGTACACAGACACACAAAAAATAAATAAATAAAAAAAACACACATCATTGTAAAATCGGTACATTCATCATTCCACTCAGAATCTAAAATATGTCAATGATTTTATAACGTACCAGCTAGTTCAATAATTTTAAGTTTGAATAACAGATCAAAACACTGTTTTGAACAGAAAAAACAGATTAAAATAAAAAATACAATTTTTTGGGGTTGTTTTTTCATAAATGAAAAAATACACCAACATCTGCATATACCTAGCAGTTAACAGGTTAACAGAAAGGTCAATATTATTGAAAAAATACAGTGTGTGCCTCCCTGGATTTTCAAAGATGGACTCCCTTGTGCTAAATAATATAGTCGAATGGTTTTAGTTTACATTTTAATTTAATTTAATACATTTGTATTTTTACGGCGGGTATTACAGCCATTCAAAAGCATAACAATATTGTGACAAATTTATATGAATAAATTCAAGTCAACTGTTTTTAGGTGAAATACTCATTATAGAAGAGCCTATTGCTGGTGTATTTAAAAATAGTATGTGGATGTTCAACTGCAATTATTGTTTCCAACGATGTTTATCAGCCATACCGTGTTCCAAATGTTCACAGGTAAATCGATTTTTAATACATAAATTGTAGAAGTTTTTAATGCCTGTGAAAAAAAAATATTTTACTCGTAATAGGTTGTTTACTGTGATGAGACGTGTCTACGTAAGGCCTACACCAGTTATCACGGTATGGAATGTTCATTAGTCTATCCTCTCAAAGCGGACCCTACTGTTGAACCCACTCACGATCTGGCTTTACGTTGTTTTGTTCAGCTTATAAATTTAATGGGTGTCGAACATTTCTGCTCAATGGTACGAAAGTATAATGAACCAAACTTTAGTTTTGACAAAAGCAGCAATAATTGTTTTATGGACAAAACTTTCCACTCGATCTATGCACTGGACGGAAATGAGACCAAAAGGACCGTATCCAATTTATTTTTCATGCATTGCACTGCGTCAATGATGGTGTCTCTGTTGTCGTTAAATGAATATTATGATATACCGTCCAATTTTTTAGACACTATTGGTGTATCTTTAGTCCATTTGCTGTGTATAGCCAACTTGAACTCGTACGCGTCTGTTGAGCTTTCCAAGTACATCGGCAAGACCAGTAATAATATCTCGAATCGATCAGCTACTTATGATTCCATCGCTCTTGTTCTATGCTCTGCGTACAGTTTGATAAATCATTCGTGCGATCCAAATGTTATTGTTCAAACGTATAGTGGTGTGGAGGTGACTCGGGCAATACAACCGATTTCAAAAGGATCTCAAGTAAATCACAATATATTATGTTAAACACTTAAACTGTACACTAGTTGTTTTCAAAAAATTATAATAATTTACCTATTACGATATAATAATATTATTGTATTATATAGCTGTTCACTGATTATGGCGTAAAATTTATGTCACACTGCAAAGAAGAACGTATTACACATTTATTTGATCAATACCAATTCCAATGTCAGTGTCAAGCTTGTACGAACGATTGGCCAATCTATGCATCGCTGGAACTCGATGAATTATTTATTAGGTATATTAATAATATATATTATGCTATTAAAGGATATAGTATTTATATTTTGCTATTTATTTACCTACCTATGACCTAACTTATTTTCTCATGTATTTATCATGATTTATGATAGAAATAAGTAATAACCAGGTATGATCAGGAACGGATTAAGAATTAAAGACGCCGAGGGCAAAATAAATGTAACGCCTTTTTGCCACAATTTCTAAAATAATTTATATTATTAAAAAAAAAATTAAAAAATTTGAAACTGAAAATGCCCGTAAACAACACAAAACAAGTCAAAATATTTTGAAAATGTTATAGTGTAAAGAAAATTCTAATATAAACATTCAGTGAAAATGACTTGTATCTATACGGTCATTTATTTAAAATTTACACTAAAAACCAAGAGTATATACATTATACATGTTTATAAACATTCCCGTTTTTTACTCAATTTATTTTTGTTTTTCCCGGATTATTTTACTTTTGATTCCCCAAAGTACCACTAGATTCACTATTCTATCAAATATTATGCTTTTGAAAAAAATCTAAGCATTTTTACTGTCCTAAAAGGCAATAACAGACACACAAAAAAATAAACATGCATATGATTGTAAAATCAATGAATCGCTCTGCTCAGAATCTAAAATAAAGCTTTCTTTTCTTTTGTTGGTCTTAAACTCTTAACTATTGGCAAGTCTGGACATTAGCTTTTTGTAGGGGGAATTACAGTTGGTTCGTTGAGGAACACGTGTGTATGTGGTATGAGGGTGACGCCTGCACATTGGATGTTGCTTGGACTGCAGCATACGTATTAACATAGGCTGAAATATATTAAAAATTCAGGGGGCTACCATTATTAACATCAATGTGATCCTACAAAACTAAAAAAGGAGGAGTTTGACGGAATTCATTTTTGGGGGGCTAAGCTCCCTATATCGCTCTTTTTTCTTTACAAGCACCCAGTGGCGTAGCCAAGGGGGGTTTTGGGTGTTTAAACAGCCCCCATTTACATTTCCCCCCTTATAAATATATTGTTTATATAGGGTTCGGCACTGCTTGCATGTTTTATTGTAGTGGTACTGTGGTAGTAGGTTATTTTAGATAAGTTATAAATTTGTCTTATGAAACAAAGTTTGAATTTGCATATTTTTGCATATTGTAGGAAAAGTGTACATTTGAGTGATTTTTTGCATATTTGTGCATATTTTGAATTTTTTTGCATATATTTAAGCATATTTTGAAAATGTTGACTGCATATTTCGATAATTTTTAGTGAAACAAGTCAAGTCCCAAACCCTAAATTTATTTATATACAAAAACTGTAAAAACTTGGTTTTAATCTATACTTAAACACCCCCCATTTCATAATTCTGCCACTGCAGACACCTATTGGGTGCGTACTGCGTAACTATTTTTGTGTAAAAATTCAGGTTCCGAAAATAATTAAAATAAAATCATTGCGTAACTCATCAAAAAACATATGAAATAACATTATGTACCTATATAAATATAATATACATATTATCCAATAAATTCTGTTTAAATAATCGATAAAAGACATAGTTAATTTCTGCATATTTACACTTATCTAGAACAAACAACAATTTAATCTCATTAAAACAAATTTTCATACAAATATAATATAATATATTAATATGTATCTATTTTACTTATTATATTGTACATTTTGCAGCAATGGTCCACTGATTATTAACGACAGGGACGGCGACAACCACCTTAGTATTCCAAAAACGACTTTATCCAAATTCAATGAAATTGTAGATTTATTGTTAATACATCGCAAGATAAATGTTGATTGTTTAGATTTTTTATTTTCATTTTTAGATTTATTGTACTCCAATTTTGAAAAACCATGTGCCATAAACTATAAATGTATTCTATTAGTCCAAGCATGTATGTATTACACTTCAGATCAAGTACATTATGTCATTGAATAAAGAAAATATAATATAAAACATTTTATACATGATATATTTTTAATAATAATTGTTTAACTCATTCGATCCCAGTGTCGGCCTGGCCATAGCCGCTAGGCCATGAACGGGTCCGGGGCCCCCGGCCATATTTTTGTTCAGGGCCCCGATAGTACTTACTACTTTCAATATTGGATATTGAATATTTTTATATAATATTTTTTTTTTTTTTGGGGGGGGGGGAATGTTGTATAATTTTGATAAATTATTGAATTTGTATTATAAAACATTTTGTTAATGAAAATTACTATTTTGACTTGATTCTTAAAATTTAGAATTGTTATCTATTATTATAAAATAATTTGGCGATCAATTTAATAATAGTCGATATTAAGGGTCTTAATTATCATTATGAAGGTAGGTACCTACTTATCTAATCGTATCAATAAAATAATGAGGCAATAAGTTAATTTATCCACAACACTCCCCTTCCATTTATATGCCAATTTTTTTTTTATTCAATCAGTAACAAAGAAGAACAATAAAAACAATAATTATTGATGGGTTGAAATAAGAAAAATAAAAAGGCAGATTGGATGGAATGTAGAGGCCGCCCAGAGGAGGTACTACGGCATGAGTAAATATGCCAAATTAAAACATATATTCTATACATTAATACTGCTTTAAATCTAGCTGCCCAAAGTTTCACATTTTAATTTAAAACGTTTAGTTTCAATTTTTTATTTTGTGATTTAACGCGTAGTTTATGTAGGTATACATGTGTCATTATGCCTTTACCTTTAATTCATTGTATAAATGGTATTACATTCCACCCAATGTACATACAATTTTGATTCATGGGTATGTAATAATAAGTTCTTTTGTAATAAGAATTGGTCAGTTGAGTGAAGAGGCTCAAGAAGCAAGAAATAAGGATTTCAAAATAAGGTATGTCGAAAATTACACAAGAAAAACATTACGAACAGGCTATTTCTATCCAGGATCCTAAAATAAGCGGACTTCAAGAAGATAATCGAAAAATAAGATCTTTCTCCGTTGAAGTCAAACGGCTATTATTAGAAGTGATCGATTCATAAACATAATTCAAACACGGACGAAAGTAAAGAAGAAACGGACGAAGACGATTAAAAATATACAAAAATTACCTATCAATTCTCAATTAATTAAAAATGTACCTAAATTAAAATGCATACAGTTAATAATCAATGTACCTACTTAACTTGTACAATTTTATTTATAGTAAATATGTATATATTTAAGAAAACAATGATTAATATTATTTTTATCGAAAACATAAAAACATTTTAATTTAAAAAAAATTAAACGCAATGGTTAAAAATGTAATAAATGCTTGAAAAGTACAATACCGTAAAATATAATATAAAATTACTCAATTGAACGAATTATTGAAAAAATAAAAATAAAAATTGCATAAATCTTAATTTTGGCCAGCTATTTTCAATTTTAAAACACTGTGCGGCATCCGCTACGTCGCGACCGACGCCTTAGACCGCTCGGCTACTCCGTCCCCCTTATATAATATTATTACCATCAAAAATTATAATACTACTATAGTATTATCATTTTATCATAAAATTACTGATATAAATAAAATCAATTACACAACTTGAATCGCATTAAGTGCCGGTGCCCCTAGACACAGTGTTGGGGAAGTTATATTTTTTTTTGGTACTTAATTAAATTACAATACGAATTGTAAGTTAGGTATTATGTAGGTAGGTATACTTAAACTCGTTTACCAGGATTTAAATAAAAAGGGAGGTCAATAAAAAAAAAATTTGGAAGTCACTCTGCTGAACAGTATAGGTTACAAGTGGGTGACTCTTATGGATAGTGTTAAATTTGAATTCAATGATATAATAAAATTGTATACGATAAACGATTCTAAGAAGATACGATTTGTCAGCCTAAGCCGATATTATATTATATTATATTTATATTGATATTATTAAATATTAATACCGTAGCCGGTTAAGTTAAATTATTGTTGGTTGCGACGCGAACCGACGCCGGTTCGATCCTCGCTACAGGCAATCATGGTGTCCGGAGAGAAAGACCGCCATCCCCCGCCCGGGCATGGCAGATATCTACGGGTGTTCTCTTACAAATTCTGCCAAAGACAAACACTCACGTGTAAAAATTCACCTTTCCAAACCCAAACACCAACACAATACAACCCTGCAAACTGCTAATGGCTGAAATATTATTAGGTATTTATAATTTTCTATATGTTGTCTGCGTGGACTGTGACGCCCATTGGGCATATTACCATAGGTTACTAACGTAACCATATAGGTCTATTAACAGGTATACGGTGACACCTCACATATTCACACTTCAGAGTTCAGAGACACGCTTCAAAGACTGTTGGCTAGCAACCGGCACTCTTCACGGTCGTGTCAAACCATGTTCAGCCTTTGTGGCTATAACACTGTATAAACTATAAAGTCTATATCCCTGTTATTTTGGAAACCTACTAGTACAGTGGCAACACTCGTCGAAAAGGACTACAACATATTTACATACCCAACCGATCTTTCATCGCAGCAGCATGGAGGGACACTCAGGACAGTATATAGGTATCTACCTACTATATCTACAGTGTACCACATACCCCCTGGTATAGTATGTATACTGTATAGGTCCCATCTCGCTATATGGCTTGCCAGGTACTCAGTATGCATTCATTGTCCTGCAAAGTAACCATCCCGAACCATCCTCATTTTCCGCCAGTACGCAATACAAAACTACAGTTTTATTTTTGTTTTGTCTTAAACTTCCAACACCATTATTTTTTTGTTTAAGACGAATAAAACACCCATGTAACGTCAACTTATTAGTTACTTATTTATAAACAATGTGTAATGTATTTAAAAAGTTAACGGTATTTTTCATCTTACTATATTTAGGCTATAGCCTATATACCTGTAGGTGTTGCGAACGTTTTTTAAATTTGGATTTTTTTATATTAATAAGTAGGGCTAGGATTTCTATATGAAATGGGAATGTATTTTGCTACGTCCTTTTACAAATTTGATTAGTAATGTCAACTTAGCCTTATTGGGCAACATCTCATTTAAGTTATACGTTTTCAATCTAAATCATGTATTCATGTGTATGTAATATATTTAATATTTATTGTATCGAAATAATAATATAAATATAATATTATTCATGTAATGTACAATGTACAGTTGAATTTTTAAGAACTTATATAAAATTAAAAAATATATATGTGGAATTATGGAATACGTTAAACTTAAACAAAACAATATTATACGCGTGATTGACATAATCAATAGTCCTGTTTAGTATTTACTATTTAGTGTTATGTATAATATATGTGTAATGTTTATGAATATAATAGGTAGGTATATATAGTATATATATATAGCCATGTAAGTAAAATTGTTAAAATAAAAATAATAATTCGTATATTAATTAAAGTCAAAAATGATAAACTATTATGAATCGCGAGATGTGTTCCAATATAATATAATATAATAATAATAATTAATAATATAGTGTAATGGTATACGCTGCAGCACTTCGGGAGTTTAAGTTTAATATAGGAATTATATAATTATAATTAATCGGGTTAACGGATTTTCAATAAACAATATGTACCTAAATAGTATATAGGTATATACAATATATAGGCGGTATATATGTTAGGTTTTAACTATAATTTATAAACATAACGTCAGTATTATAATGTACCTATATATATATTTTATATTATACAGTAAACTCTCAGTACCTATATTGAAATTCGAGGGACATCTCAGTCGTCCTGAGATAAAAGTTGGAGATATCGAGTTTTATTTCAAGGGGATTTTAATTGAGTTCGACATTACGAAAAATCAAGATATCGACGTTTGACATAATAAGAATCTACTGTATGTATAATTAATATGAACTTGGTGCTTGCAGTGTGCGCGTCATCATCACAATATTATAATAATAATGTTATACATAATATTCATACATCGCGGGTGTCTTAATATTATTATTGAAATATACGCGATGGACCATCAGTGACAGTATGGGTAGTTGGGGCAGTTCTGCGGGCTGACGCCGGACGGGTACCTCTTGTGCGCGTACCTGAGCGCCTCGGCCGGTACCTGGTGTGAGCAGTACGGGTAGTTAGGGCAGTTGGACGAAGAGAGGCCGGCGGGGTAACCGGGCTCGGTGTACGGCGCCGGGACCAGTGGCTGGTTGTTGTGGTAGTTGGACGCCTCGGACGGGTGGTGCTGGTAACCGGAACCGTAATACTGACCGGCGTTGTTGTTGTTGGTGTAATGGTCGTTGTAATCGTTGCCGGCCGCAGGTTGGGCGTAAGCGGCCAACAGCACGTTGTCGCAGTGTGGGTAATTGGGACACAGGGCCGGGTTCAGTCCGGACGGGTACCTGGCGCCTCCGGCTAGCACCGCCGTGGCTTGGACCGCGAAAACGATTGCCTGAATACAAAAGACCAACAAAAACCATTTATCACGATATTTCGAAGTACAATAATTCACTGAATTAGTTTTTGAAACAGCTCGGTGCAATAACATACATGGAAATTGGCGGTTAGTGTGCAAATTTGTGAAATTATCACAATCTTTCAAAAAACCTTTATAATCTACACCTATTATAGGTACTGTTTTTTTTTAAAAGTATACACATACATTTTTAAAAAAGTTTGGTAAGAAACCGGCTTATATAGACTAGTGGTCAACAAATTGCAGAGAAATATTTTCACATGATCGTGTCTTTTATTGACGCGGTCTATTTGCAATTCGTAGTGTATCTATGCCTTTATGCTGTCGTGGTGACATTATCTGATTATCATCCTTTACATTATGAATTATGATGAATGCGTAAGTGTAAGCAATATACACACAACGCTAGACAAAATTGTTCATTAAAAAATTATTCATGATTAAATAACTTTCCTGAAGAGAGATAGGTTTTAGATTTTTTCTAACAGGGGTTTCGACGTTTCACTGTGTTCAAAAAGAAATTCAAAATAATATGTATTGAAATTGTAATTGTTATACCTCCACATATTATAAGTATAAATGTATACCTAAGTAATAACTTGTATGACTTACGAGTTAAGTAAAGTTATTGTGTTAGAAATTTATCAAATTTTGAATTTTGAGTTCGACATTTTTATAAAACACTATTATCATACGCGACATGGCATTCTTAGTATAAAAATAAATATACCTATTCTAAATGGTAAGCTACTATACAATAATTGTCTGTAAAAATTCAAAAATTGATAGTAATATTATACTAGTATTGTCTATTGATTATTGTATATTAGTTCGACGACTTGTGCCATGGGGTGACTGAATTTTATAACCAATGTACTTTTAGTTAAGGTATTAGATATATCATAATATAAATATAAAATTATACTCACGAGTACTCCGATCATGGTGAATTGATGAATATATACGATATATATAGTATTAGAGTTGTCTGAAGACTGCTTCGATGGATCCAACAAATGCTCTATAAAGACACTGTAGCTACGACTGATAGGTAAGTTATGTATAAAATAAATAAACTTCTTTGAGATGAATTGGAAACGTTTGCGGAACGCGAATGTAGAACGACTGCTGGAAAAACTCGAGTCGAAAAATCAGACGATAATATAATATTATATTGTTGTATTTATTTGTGCGTTGAACTCGAGTTGTTGTTGTCCTGTGGAGATACAACGGTGAAGTATACGTTTGTCTTGGATACATCCGTTATTTATACGAAAGTCGAAAGATTTAAGATATCCCTAAACACGCCGCCGCCGCTGCAATAACCACCGTCAGCTGCTAGCACCCACCACTCACAAATCACCGTAAAAACCACAACTAATGACCCACGTGAGATACACAATAAGATAGAATAACATAACGATATAGTACCTATAAGAGATATTATATTAATAATATATAATAATTGACGCAAATTCGTAGACAGTGGGCAATGTGGTGCGCATTTACCATACAGGTATAACATAATAACAATACCAGCAGTGACCGGAACACCGCAAATAATAGTAATGATAATATACTATATACCTACAATATATTACATAGGTACCAATTTCAGTGGCGTAACTAGGATTTTAGGGGCCCATGGCATAAAATCTCCTTCAAATGTTTAAGATAAACAAAAGATAACTCTTCGCTATTTTAAGTTGAAATTCGTAAAAAGTACATTAATAATAATTATTAAGAGCTGGATGCTACCCATGAATTTGTTGTCTCCGTCTTACACACATACGACATAGCAAATTTTCGTTCACTAGTTTCAATAGTGTGCTATTAGTTTTGATATTAGAGTGATTTGACCTAATATCAATTTTTTAGATAATAACTTTATCTGTGCTTAAGCTTTGGCTTTTTTCGATATTTTAATATTCAAGCGATATATGAGCATTTTTAATTATTGATATTTCATCACATACCCATCATATATCTTGCTTGAAAAGGAAAATTTCGAAAAATCGGCACAGCTTAAGCACAGATAATGTTCTTACCTAAAAGTTTTATAACAAGACAATTATCACTCTAGTATCAAAACTAACAGCACACTATTGAAACTAGTGAACGACAATTTGCGATGTCGTAAGACCCATACAACAAATATATGAGTAACGTCCATTTAAGTAATTTGACAAAAAATATGGGAAAAAAATGAAATATAAATGTACAAAAATGAAATATTTGAAATAAATTACATTACTTAATCATTGTTTAGCTAGTATCTTTTTCTATCGGTATTAAATCCAAAAATGCTCTCGGCTCATGATATTTTTTCAAATGTTTAGTTTTGAAAACGATCGTTCTGTTATTGGATCTGCACTATCACTGGTTACCGGGAAAGTCAGTTATAATATTAAAGCTGTGCAAACTTTGAGGAAACTTTATAGCAATAAGTTATTTTAAATAAATCTATTAGTTCACGTGAATCATATAATTTCATTTTGAATTGTTTATTATTATACAATGGACAATAATAGTTAGTAGATTTATAATATTACTAATATGCATAAATATATAATTGCAAAATATAAGCAGCACAATTAGTATACCACAACCCCTTAAACACACATTTTTCTTTTTGGTCCATGCCCTCCAGTTTATATTTACGCCAATAACATAATATATTCCGTATGTTCCGAAACTCAGTAGATTGGTGTAATCCGCTCGAATTGATTGTTCCTGGTAAACGGACGTTTCGTCCCCGTCAATTATTGAGATAGGACGTTTCGTCCAGGAGAGTTATTAGCCATAGGACATTTGGTTCCCGGCATACGTTGATAATCTAAATACATTAATTTTTAATGAACAATTTAATCTTACAAAAACAATACAAATACTAATCAATATTCATACAATACAATTACAATTAGTCAAGATTTAAATAAATCACAATTGTATTAAGTCAACATGAAATGTAGTAAAATTTAATAAATTTAAATTAAATACTTTAATAATATTAAGATAAATTATATATTTATTTTTAGGTCAACTGACTTATGTTTTTTAAATAGTATAAAATGTAATTATCGTCATTATCGTCAAATCCCGTACAATATTAGGACTGCAATTTCTTTCCCGGTACTATTTTCGGTACATTTATTATTTCCTTTTTGTTTTTGTTCCAATGCAGTCGTTGCAGACGTATTGCATATCTGTATTGAATACTCTCTGTATCAACTATCAAATACTCTTAAAATAAAGTAGTTAAATAAATATAAAATATTACATTGTTAATTGTTATAATGTTAAAGTAAAACCACAACGGCATGGTATTTTTATTTAAGAAAAAATAATTATAAATAGAAACAAATTAAGAATTAAAAGAATAAAAAAAATGTATTCAATACGGAAAAAAGACTTTGAATACTTTTACTCAAATACTTTACAACACTTTACACTGTGTATTAGACATTACAGAATTGTTCATTAAAAATAAATTTAGTAAATGTTCATAAAATAAAGAACTTTGAAGTAATTAATAACCCGAGAACCGAATGTCCTATACCTAATGGAAATATGCAGGGGACCAAACGTTAATAACTCTCCGGGACGAAATGGCCTATCTCAATAATTATTGCTGGGGGCGAATCGTCCGTGGACTGGTTTTTTTGACGGAGACGAAACTTCTGTGATTCATTGTTCCTAAATACAGTGGTTAATCAATCCGCTGTAGGGGAGGTGATCAATCGGATTATCTATACCAAGTATAGGCATCGGACATAAAAACAAATAAATATAATATAATATTATTATGTTACCCACTATGTAGCTATACAGTGTGATGTTCCTTTTTTCTCCGATAATGCAGTCATTCCAAATATGATTTTTAAAATATATACTCTGCAAAGACCACAAGATCCTAAAACTCTTAAGATTCTTTGCACTAGTTATTCAAGGAATGTCCGGTGGAGATACAAACTTCTGTATTCACAAATGACAATCTGTTGTTCTACTGTAAATTATTTAGAGGATAATTTTTCTGAAAATTTCGACGTATCAAAATCAAAATTCGAACATGTAGTTTTTGAGTTATTTAATTTTGCGCACTAATGATAATAAGTCCAAGATAATAGTTTTGGAATTTATAGGGAGGTTAGAAAATATGAAAATATTCTTTAAGTAGGTACCATAGATACCTATAGTATTAAATATTTCAAAGATCGGAAATTGAATATATTCATTTTTAAAGAAAAAAATGGGGGTGAGCATGAGTATAGTAGCACCCTATATTATATTGTTATAATACAACGTACGTGTCGGGTCAGTCTGTTTTCGACACGATTTTCGATCGAAACGATCGCGCAACATTTATGCGTGCGTTTGTCAACAATAATATGTAAATACAAATATACAATATAGGCAATACTATATAGATCGCGATGCATAACGTTAACACCATTTATACACATTGCAGTGTATATATTATAATAATATGCGACCGCGTCACGACCGGGGATTTCATTAATAGACCGAAAACTCGTCGAAACTCGAAACATCCAAACCGACAGACCTAACCAACGCCCTGCTGCAATAATGACGAGTGTGTGATTGGTATTTGGTGTGAAACAACTGCACCTTTGCGCGCGTCGGTGCGCACAATACATTTTAATATTATGTATAATGTATACCTACACGAGATATTATGATACACTTTAAACACTTAAATAATAATTAAATTGTTATAGTAAAAATATATAATATTAAATAATAATACGCTGTTACAAGTTAGTAACACCCGGTTGGCCGGTTCGACCGCAAATTGTTTTGTCATTTGTTTTTCAAAACCGTTTTTTATATTCGTTTGGCGGGCGCGGAACCACGCCACCGCGGACGCTGTCGGCTGTCCTCTGATTTCAAAATCATTGTTGCAATAAAAATATTATTTTTTTAAAGAAAAATGATAAAGAATATTATTTCCATGATATTTTGTTGTCGTCCTCTTTTTATGGCAATAACTGTTGATTAGATAACAGACGATGAGAATTAATATAGTTTATACTTCAATAGTGTATTATACTTATCTATGGTATACTCGTATACACTATAGATAAGTCCCTACTCTGTGCAATGTGCATTATTCAGTTGTAATAAATAATAATCATATTACTCATCACATTCATATTATTTATGTGGCTCAGTTTTCGAATTTCGTGATCGTTTAATTCTCCATGTAGACGTTTTTGTAGATCATATTATATTGTATAAATAAACAATTTTCTATATAAATTTGTGGAGTAGTCTAGGATAATTTTTGAAGTGCATTATGTGGAAGTCGTCCGCTGGTATTAACGTTGAGATACCTGTCGAAAACGCGGATGATGACTGGGAGACAGATCCAGATTTTGTGAACGACGTGAGCGAAGAAGAGCAAAGATGGGGCTCTCGCACCGTTCCCGGTTCTGGACGTGTATTAGATCATGTCGAGTTGGTTACTTTTGTTATAGTTTATTGGAATTTGTATAACTCATTGTTATTGTGTATTTAGCATGAGTCAACTACGCGAAGAAGTAACTAAAGCTCATGAAGTCCTGAAGAAAAAAGAAATGGAAGAAGGGCCTCAAGCAGCATTTGGATATGGTGGTAAATTTGGTGTGCAATCTGACAGGTATGGTTATTTTAATAATAAATACATTTTTATAATAGACTGTAATATGTTTGTGTGTTTGTTAGAATGGATAAATCTGCTGTTGGACACGACTATATTGCACCTCACTTTAAGCATGCCTCACAGACTGATTATAGTTCTGGTTTTGGTGGTAAATATGGTGTTCAATCAGATCGAATCGACAAGGTATTGACGGTTTTTTTTGTTTTTTAAACTAAAAGCAATGAAATATACAGTTATTGTTATAGGACGTGTTTCCTTAAAAATGGTTTAATTCACATCTTT